CCTGGGTGAACTGCGTAGCTACCTTGGCTTGCAGATCACCCGGGACAGAGCCCGTCGCACCATCACCCTGACTCAGTCACACATGGTGCAGCAGGTCCTTCAGCGCTTCGGCTTCCAGTTCTCCTCACCACAGGCCACACCTCTGGCTACCAGTCACTCCCTCTCAGCTCCACCTTCGGACGAGTCCGTAGAGCCGAGTGGCCCGTACCCAGAGCTTGTAGGCTGCCTCATGTACCTGATGACTTGCACGCGACCTGACCTTGCGTACCCTCTTAGCATCCTTGCTCGTTACGTTGCGCCTGGGAGACACAGGCGAGAGCACTGGGAGGCTGCTAAGAGGGTGCTGCGGTACCTGTGCAGTACATCAGGCATGGGGCTGGTGCTTGGAGGACGCGACAGAGTTGTCCTCACTGGTCACTCGGACGCCTCTTGGGTGGACGACCTGGCTACGCAGCGGTCGTCACAGGGTTACACCTTCAGCCTTGGCTCTGGTTCTGTCTCGTGGCGGTCCACCCGCTCTTCCTCTGTTCTCGGCTCTAGTTGTGAGGCTGAGATCTACGCCACAGCCATGGCTGCACAGGAGTTACGCTGGCTCACCTACCTGCTGACTGACTTGGGAGAGCGGCCTAGTTCTCCGCCAGTTCTGTACGGTGACAACAAGGCGGCTCTTGCCTTGTGTCAGGAGCACAGACTGGAGCACAGGACGAAGCACATTGCTCTTCGCTACTTTCTTGCTCGAGAGCTTCAGCAGCGCGGTCAGCTTCGGCTTGTGTACGTGGACTCGAAGGCCAACACTGCTGATATCTTCACCAAGGCGCTCCCGCCTAGTGATCATCAGCGGCACTGTACTTCTTTAGGCCTTGTGTCCACGTTTCCTCACTTGCTCACTGCTTGACATTCTTTGTACTGTACTTTATATATATATCGTGTTGCTTGTCTTGTATTATATCTAGCACTGCATGTGAACTGGCCTTGTGGCCTTTACTTGTGCTCGGAGTGTGGTGACGTTGTGATCCACCCTGGGCTTTGCTTTGCTTTGCTGGACTGGTCTTGTGACCCTTTGTTCTCCCCCACTTTGCCTATGGGGGTGTGTTAAACTGTATTATGCTTGTAGGCTGTAGTGGGGTAGCCAATATGGGGTACAACCCCAACTAGGGTTTCATATTTGTACCCAAACTTCTGTTAGTTCATCCATTCTTGCCTAGCTATTCTGAAAGTTAGGTCTTGTGCCTACTGGGCCTCACTTGCTTACCTCTTGACCTTGCTTTGTACTGTGTCCTATATATATATGCTCTTGCTTGTTTCCTTCATATATATATAGGCTGCATGTGAACTGGCCTTGAGGCCTTGAACCTTTGCTCGGAATGTGTGGTGACGTTGTGATCCACCCTGAGCTTTGCTTTGCTTTGCTTGACTGGTCTTGTGACCCCTTGTTCTCCCCCACTTTGCCTATGAGGGTGTGTCAAACAATATTTAGATATATATGTGTAGGCTACAGTGGGTTTAGCTTTAGGGGGTACACAACATTAGGGTTTGATATTTGTACTCTCGTTTCTGTTAGTTCAACATTCCTCTCTCCTTTCACTCCTCCTCCTCACTTGCCCTGTGTGACTGCCTCTAGCTTTGCTTGAACTTGTGAACCTGCTCTGTGATTGCGTGCTATGCTACTATACCCCACTTTGACTATGGGGGTGTGTCAGAATATAATGCTTGTCTAGTCTGTAGTGGGGTACTCAATAGTGAGTATAACCCTTTTAGGGCTTGCTATTTGTACCTCCCTTCTTTCTAGTCAAACCCTTCCATTTGCCTAATTCTCTCTTGCCTAGCTAGGTAAACCCTAGCTATGGCTCCTTCATTCTAGCTTCTATCTCAACAGCAAATTCTAGTGGGACACTTGAGGTAGCTTCTATGACAGCAATGCCAACATTGCGCAGCTTGGGTTCATGCAGAGTAGTGCTGTACATGGCCCGAGTCGCGCACGGTGCCGAGAGGTCACTGTACCTGTTACCTCTTGCCATCCGTTTGGTCACGTCAAGGTCTCCTCACATGGCCCTCACCTTCCCTTCAGTCAAGCGGCTCCAGTGCACGTCTTTGACAAGAGCTCGGCTGGCTGTTAGAGCGACTCTTTTTTATGCTTGTTATGTCAAGTTTAAAATCTCGTCCGCGATGGCGAGTGCCATCATCCCCCTGTAGTTGTCTAGCATGGCGTCTAGCCCTGACTCTGGGAGTACCGTTGAGAGGCGACAGCGCCATTTTACCGTTCAGAGCAGCGCTACTGCACGCACAAGGACGTCTCCTCGCCCCATCTCGCCCCAGCCGGATGCTCCCGGTAGTGCTTCTGCTCGGGATGAACCGAGCACTAGCTCTGACCTTCCTCGCCCCCCTCTTCCTCGTGTGGTTGTCCCCACCTTTCCTGAGCGTAACCACCCGCGGGGACAGATCAAGCGCAACGCCGATGCTGCCCCGCCAAGTCCTCGCCACCGCATGATGAAACGCCAACGGAATGCCATCACCGCGATGGAGAAACTCCACTGGTGGAAGCTGCAGAACAATCAGCCCGACCTCTCCAATCGAGCACTGGCGGGAAGGCAGAAGAGCCCAGCGATGACGAGTGGTGGCGCCCTGGCCGCTACGACGGGGAAGAATGTGAAGAGTGGCATGCCGGGGACGATTATGAGTGAACAACACTAACTAGAGCTCTTTGTAGTTGAACTTGTTGATGTCTAGTGTGTGGTGACCATGTGGCTATGGAGATGCAATCTACGTGACATTGTTAATGTCTAGGTGCTGGCGCAGGACTTCTGTAGTTGCTGTAATGTCACCTCTATGAAATGTTAAGAAAGTTATCGTTTTTCCCGTCTATAACACCCCCCCCAGGGTCTTATAGAGAATCAGCCAAAAAGGGGGGTATAGCAAAAATGAGGTCGCCCATAGCACCCACCCCGCACAAGCTACCCGGGGGTGCTCTATCATGGGGGGGTGTTTTGTCCGGGAGAATACGGTAGGCGTCATCCTATTAAAGGCGCCGATGCTTATATCTGGAGCATGGCGCTTTTGGCCGCTCCTCAATTATAAGCGCCCCCCCTTAGAAAACCTTTACTTATTATGAGCGCACGTAAAATTTTAATTTAAATCCTTGCTTAAAACGGTAACGAAATTCATCTTTGCAGCAAGTCTGTGAGAGTACGACGGCTTATGCTTGTTATTCATGCTTGCTTTTATTCCCTTACGCTATTTCTAGCTTAGGTTTAATTTCTGCATGCATGAATTGCTTGATTCCTAGGCTAGGTGCTTTTCTATATTTTATTATAGTTATAAGCACCGTGCTAGGTTACACCGAATTCGGAGCTATTCGGTTGCCACCGAACTGCTTTCTACCGAATTCGGGAAGGGTCTGTTCGGGACGCTTCGCGACCCGCGGAACCTTCGCGTAACACCTGGTTACTGCCCTTGTGTCGAGCCTATATATAGCCTCGTGTTGTACCCAGGTGATCATTCAATTTACATTCTCATTTCTGAACTCGATCCTCGATCCTCACAAAGTCAGACTTCAATATCGCTTCGTTTGACTCGCGTCCAGTCACGATTTGCTGGCATGACGTGTCTTTGCCTGTGTGTGCACCCAGAATATCGCTTGTGCGAGATTCTGCTTTGTGACGCTAAAACATTTCGACTCGGTTGAAAGACGAAAATGAACAATTTGGTGCTCTAAATATATAATTTCGTATTTTTTTATTATATAAGCGCCGACGCTTATGGCTGTTACTCAATTACAAGCGACCCTCCAGGGCTTCAGATTCGTTTTGGGCCACCCTTAGTAATCAGGGTTCTAGGTATAGTCAACCCTGATGCGTAGGGTAAATTTTTTTGTTTCCCTCACAAATGTAGGGTAAAAAAACTGTTAGTCTGTTTGGCTTTAAAAAACATGTCTATTAACTAAAACAAAGAAGATATCTTCGACAATTGGTGGTTCGGTTTTTGTCTGTTAGTCTGTTTGGTGTTTTTTGATTTGAAAGGTCGCAGGTTCGAGTCTTGTATAGGGAGCATTTTGCAGGGGCCTGAGTAGGGTTTCGTCTCGATACGGAGCATTCGGTATCACTATAGTTGGGATCGTACACTATACAGTCAGAATAATGTGTTCCTTACGTTTTTTTTTTCAAAGGGTATTAAAAAACTTACACTTTCTGGCCTAGAATAAAAAATCCAGCACCCTGCCTGTAAAAGGGTAACTGAAAAAAACGCCCACCAATCAGTGTAAAAAGGGTATTTTACCCTGATAACGAGAGGCATGAGCCCCCCTAAAAAAAATGAATTTATTATAAGCGCATATGCGCCTATATCCGGGGCCATACGGTACCCGAATTCTCACGGATATAAGACCCGGGGGACTTTCCTAAAATAGAGGCAAATTCACAAGGGTGAACATTTAATCAGCACGAGTTGTATAAGTTCCGGGTACACTTAATAATCAAGTACACTTATGCGATTTAGGGTGTACCATTCATTTTGGGGGGGGGGGGGGGGGGGGGGGGGGGGACTTTTATTTTGCTCGTCCAAATCTACCGCTTAGCGCACCACGAACCTGACACGCGTCGTCCAACGAGGAACTACGGCGGATATTTCACCATTCGAGGCGAACCGTAGAGCATCTTGACGATGCGATGCCCTCAGGTGCCCACGTCAAGGCCCCCCTTTGCATCACGTCCCTTCCTTTTGCGACATAATGGGGGACGGGCTCTGGACGTGGTTCGAACGCATCCCTCACAAATCCAGCAGGCAGCCGAGCTTGTGACAGCCTACTATGGCGCTGTGTCTCCCGCCTCTGATTCATTTCGTTAGCCCAGCTGCACTACAAAGAACACATCATGGCGCGAATGCATCGTCATGCGGCCCAAGTTAGCTAGTTTAGCAAGAGCATTCAGCCATGTCGGGTTTTGAAAGCCCTTGGCGTACGCGCCATGCGTCGTCTACTTCATCGCGGCCGGCCATCATTCTGATAACTAGCCCGAGTCCGCCAGCACCACCGGCGCCTCCCGCACCCCCTGCCCCGCCTGCTCCACCGGCGCTGCCTGCGCTGCCAGTGTTTCCCCTGGGTTTCGTTTCCCACCAGGACCGACCTCTCTTCGAGCCGCCAGACGAGGAAGGCTTTCCCGAGCTTGTGAAAATCGCGAAAATCGCGACGAGACCGACGAGGCGCAGGATGGCGTTGGTGACTTCCCCGTCCCCACCTTCCCCGAAGACCTGATCCACGATGAAGCTGGCCCCGAATCTACAAAGGACGCCGCGCCTTTGAGTCCGCGTGCTCGCAAGAGTACCCACCGTCGCACAGCGCGCACCATGGGAGAGAAGTGGCGGTGGCTCATGCGGATGAAGGATGAGAACCTTTCCGTTCGTCACACCGCCCGTCTTGCAGGGGTGCAGCCGATCAGCGTCCGCCGATGGCTGAAGATTGTGCAGGAGATTGAGAAGGCAGCACCGTGCAGGCACGCACACGCCCTTATACCATTCCATGCACACGCGCATGTACGCATCCGGACAACAAGCCGAGTGGAAACCGTACGGCTGCACCGACAGTCGCGCGCGCGCGCCTGCTCTCCGTCGTCACGCGCGCGTACTTTGCCTTCCGTTGTCGCGTACGTGCGCCCTGGCCACCACCACTCAGCATCACCTTCTCGCGGTCGCTCTCCCTTACCCCCCTCGTGGGCGCCTTCCCCTCCCCTCGTAGTGCCTCCCCCCCCTCGATCCGCCCCTTCACCCTCCTCCTCCTCCTCCTCCTCCTCCTCTTCCTCCTCCTCCTCCTCCTCCTCCTCCTCCTCCTCCTCCTCCTCCTCCTCCTCCTCCTCCTGAGCTTGGACGGAAGATGAGACAAGTCCAAGGTGCATGTATCAAGCAGCACCTGGTCTCCGACTGTTATCGAATGATCACGTCGCTGACGATCGGCATACTGCTTCTGGGAGTTCTCCATTGTGGTGCGACATCGCTGAGTCTTCTCCCATAGCTGTTTCCTGGTGGTGACGAAGTCGTGTGCAGCTTGGACGTGTGCCGGTGCGGTTGGCTGTTGTGGTATAAGTGGTTCCCGCCCGTAGCACAGGATGAAAGAAGATTTCCCTGTGGACGCATGTGATGCGTTGTAAGCGAACTTTAGGGTCGGTATCTATAGATCCTAGTGGCTGATGTCGTCTTTGCAAGCTGTGTGCAGTAACTGTTCAACCACCCGATTGAGTCGCTCAGTTTGTCCGTTAGTACGGGGAAGACATCGCAAGCTTTGTCCCCAACAAACCCATGAGTTCCCTCCAGAACTTACTAGTGAATTTTGGGTCTCTGTCTAAGATAAGTGTAGCGGGGATGCCATGGATGGTGATGATGCGGTCGAAGAAGAGGCAAGCAGTTGCTTCAGCTGTAGCCGTGGCGTTGGTCAAAATATAATGTCCAATTTTGGAGAACTTATCGATCACCACGAGTATAGCGTCATACCCTCGTGAGATCAGAGGAAGCCTAGTGATGAAGTCGAGGCTAACGACTTGCCATGGCTGCTCCGGTACGGGTAGAGGCTGAAGTAACCCTGCTTTTTTCTGCTTGCTACTCTTCATTCGCTGGCACGTGTCGCATGAGGTGACAAACTGCTGCACGTGTACTGCCATCCGAGGCCAATAGTAATAATTTGCTATTCATACTAACGTCTTGTTACTCCCAAAATGTCTCGCGTATGCTACGTCGTGAAATTTCTCCGGTAAGATCTGTTGACGCGGGGCATAGTTCGGTACCCAACTCTTTTTTTAACCCTTCCTTACAGCTAAGTCTTTCTCCCACTGTAACAGCTTCTGTTTCTGTGCTGTAGCGATCTCTGCATCCACGGAGGACCCATGTTGGAATAGACCCTTCAACAGAGGGTTCATCCCGTTGATTTGGATGCCTGCTACATGTCCGGGGCGGCTCAATGAGTCTGCTTTGTTGTGTTGGGTTTGTAGACGATGTCGTAGTGGAAGTGAGTTTCTATGATGTCCACCCACCGTAGCTGTCGTTATGAGAGCGTAGGTGGTGACTTAATTGTATTTGAGACTGCAGTGGTCGGTGTAGACTGTAGTTTTGGCTCCCTCTAGGTAACACCTCCACGCCTTGAAGGTTGTGACTATCGCTAAGGCTTCCTTGTCATGGATTGGGTAGTTCAGTTCAGCTTCATGTAGCTTCTTACTGAGGTAGGCGATGGGCTGCAAACCGCGTCCGTGATCCTGCATCAGTACTACTCCGGCTGCCTGGTCACTAGTGTCTGCTTTCACCACGAAGTCTTTGTCTGGGTCTGGTAGGATGAGTACTGGCGCTGTAGCCATTTCTATCTGTAGATGCTCCATGGTTTCCTATTGAGAAATATCCCATTTATAGGGTGTATCCTTTTCCAATAAGTTCGTCAGTGGCACTGCTATCTTAGCGTACTGTGGCACAAAGCTGCTGTCGTAGTTGGCAAAGCCTAGAAACTTCTTCATATTCTTAGATAATTTCCACGTCTGGACGGCTCAGAACTTCCGCGGGCCCATGTGTACGCCCTCGGCACTCACCATGTGCCCGAGAAACAGCACATTCTTCAGGGCGAAGTCGCTCTTTGACAGCTTCACGTAGAATTTTTATTTTCTGTAGGCTTTCGAAGACTTTCCGCAGATTCTCCACATGCTCCTTCATATTCTTGGAGTAGATGAGAATGTCGTCCAGGTACACCACAACGCAGTCTTCCAGTAGGAGCCATAGGATGCGATTCATCTTCGACTGAAAAGTTGCTGGTGCGTTGCATAGTCTGAATGGCATACTGTAACCAGGTACTTATAGGAGCCATATTTGGTATGGAACGCCGTCTTGTGGATTGAGTTGTCCGCCATCTTGATCTGCCAGTAACCCGACCGTAGGTCCAGCTTCGAAAAGACTGTTGCACCACGCAGTTGGTCTAGGAGATCGTCTATGCGCGGGTGGGGTATTTGTTTTTACGGTCTGTTTGTTTAGTGTCCGGTCATCGATGCACATCCATAAACTACCGTCTGGCTTTAGAGTGAAGAGAACTAGTGCACTGTAGGGAGAGGTGGATGGGTAGATCAGTTTTCTGTCCAGTAGATATTCGATCTGCTTTTTCATGTCTGTCAGCTTGGCTGGACTAAGGCGGTATGGTGCACGTGAGATGGGTTTCACACCTGGTTCTTCCACGATCTCATGCTTGTGGGTTCGTGCTGGAGGTACTCCTGCAGGCAGGCTATCTGACAATATGATTTGATAAATGATAAATGAATGCTTCATGTTCGACACAAATAATGCTTATCTGTTAGTGACAATCCATCATATATATTATAATGATAAAAATGCGTGAAAGCTAACGGCCCAAAAACCATGTTACCGCATCCCCTGCCTAGCATGGGGGGGAGCTAATAGCATAATCTTTGAACAATCAGCAGTCACATGAAACAACACAATCTGTGAATTCTGAAAAGATGGTCAACTCTATCATCTCCAGTTCAAGTGGGCTCCCGACAGGCGCGCCAATGAACCTTCTACTGAAATGACAGACCTGATTCACCTTTTTAAAACCCATAGACATGCATTGTTAATGCAATCATAGATGGAAATGAATGCACATACACACATACAAACATGCAAACACAATAACACACGTACGCCTTGAACGAAATAGGCAGAAAACATGCAAGGAAATTTACCAGCACAATACAATTATCCTACAAATTATCAACCACTATTATCGTTTCATATTCCGAATTGAAGTTGGCCTCTTGAAGAATACAGCAAAGCCTCTGAGAATAAACCGGGGAGAGAAATGGGAAATACTGTAGAATGGGCAAAAAGAGAGATTTAAAAAGGAAAAAAAAATCTGGAAATTGAAAAAAATGAAAATGAAAACGGATTTGTAAGAATGAGCAGATATACATCTGCACATCACTGAATAACGTTAGAATCAAGAACGCACGACTTACAAATCACATATTAATCTGCTGCTGACTATAAAGAAACGGCAACGAAGAGCCATAGAAAGTGGACGGGAGAGAATATATGAACTAAAACAAAACACGATAGTTTAAATAAAACCATAATTTGTAAACAGATTGCTAGTTTATTCGCGAACATTTTTATCGTCAAAGGCACTAAATAGGATGCTCATGCTCTGTTGATAATGAAATCGATTTACAAAACCGAAGAGACTAATATAGAGTTATCATCAAGTTCTAGTGTACCAGCAAGGAGGGGACAGTGAATCAAAAAGAGTTAATTCTTTTAGAGATTAAGGACTGAGTCTATAAAGAATAGGAGCCGAATTATCACAAAATCGTTGGCTTAGAATTCTGGACAGAAACCGCGATTTCACAAGAAACGCCGTCGACGAAAAACTAACCGTTAGAATTCCGTCAAACTCGGTAGCTCTAGACCGTGGCTACAATTCCCAATTTGAATCACCTCAAAAGATGGAGTATATCTCGAGTTATGCTTTTCGGTGCACTAGGGGGTATGCTGCCACATAAATTTTAACTCAATCACAAGTTAACTCACAAGTTTCTCAAAGTTGCACACACAAGAGTTAGAGTAGCACTAAACCAGGTGGGAGGGGATGAGGAGGACGAGAGGGAAGGTCCCAAGGGAGTCCCCAACCAAAGAAAACCCCATGCCACACAATTCCCCTCTCCATAGGCAACCCAACTTTTACTTTTGTCACTTTCCCAACCCATGCCATCCACCTCAACCCACTTGGCCACACTTGCCAACCTGGTTTGGCTTCACCCAACCACATGGCAGCATTCTACAGTGATGGGTTCGAATTTCCCAACCCCAAAAGTCTATACCCCTTATGGAGCAAACCCCACAACTTCCCAAAGTCGCCGCAACCAAAGTACAAAAAGCATACGAACTCCAATGCCCGTAAATCTCTTGTTCTTGCTCCGATCGCGACGATTCTTGGTTCGTCGGGAAGCTCTTGAGCAGAGCAACCAGGACGCATCACATGTCCAACACCGGGGTGTGATCGGCTCCTAACACCGAATTTGTGTGCATCGCGTACGAAAAAGGGGAATCGATCTGCCGGTGCAGTGTTGGCTGCTTCCCCGAGCCTGTTGGTGCAACCCTACGGTTTGCACTCGGCTTGTTGTCCGTGTGCGTGTGCGTGCATGCGTGTGTGCATGGAGTGGTATGAGTGCATGAAATAAATATATATTTCATGCTTGTAATGGTGTGCGTATGATGGGTCATGATGTCGAGTGTGTGTGTTGAGTCAATAGCGAGTTATCGCTAGCCGCGTGTTAATGCGGTCATTTGTGTCTCGCGCGCGGTTTCTACACCCTCGTTCTCGCTAGTCTGACCTCGGTTAGGGGAACTTGCAGGAAGAAACATCATGGTGGAGAGCGGTGAAAGATGGTTCAATATGGTATATTAAGACATTTTTAATAAGACAAAAACTGCCTGCCAGACGCCCGCTAGTGAGATGGGTGAGAACGAGGGTGTATTTTGTCGTGTGTCCCGTGCGCGGTTTCTATTTTGTCCTGTGTCGAACGTTCGGCGTGTCGCAGGTGTGTGCAGCAGACCCATCAAGAACTCAAGGTTGAGTTTGTGATGAAGAACCCGAGCCTTGGTTACAAGCTTCAAGTGATTTTTCGAAGCTGGCCAAAAGGGTACACCTCAAGATATTGAAGATAGTTACATTACAATTTGTAGTGTAACATTTCTATGGGTGTAGGCCCTTGTGGAGGGTAGTTTCGAGACCCTTCTTGGTTGGAGACAGTGTGGCACTGTTCCCCATCACTGTACCTCGGCTCTTGGGGTTTGTAGGAGCTGGGAGTCCTTCCCAACTCGTAACTCTTCCTAGCTGTTCGTAATTGTGTTCCCCAAGATTATGTTGCTGCCA